TCTCTCTCTCTGTGTGTGTGTGTGTGTGTGTGTGTGTGTGTGTGTGTGTGTGTGTGTGTGTGTGTGAGAGAGAGAGAGAGAGAGAGAGAGAGAGGGGAGATGTCCGCTGTTGTGTGGGCGGGAAAGTAACCCTGTCGGAAATAGGCAAAGGGCGTTCCCTTCTTTGCGCAGTTGGAATGCCAACCCCTGCATGACCCGCCCGGAAATTCAAGCTACCAGTGCCGCGAACACTTGTTTAACAAACTGGCCTTTTTTTCCCAAGCTTGACCCACCGCGTTGGAATGATGTGTGCAGCAGGGAGGGGTATAAAAAGACCGCCGGTGTTCTCTTGCAACGATGATGACGCGAAGATTCTACTATGATGCATTTAACTGGCATTACTTTTTAACATTGGTTGAAGAGCAACCCTTTTCAAGACCGAAAACAGATTCCCTGATGCCCTTGAGAACTCTAGGGGCAAAGACAGAAATAGGCTCCTTGCATTGACAAGTCCCATGACCAGCGTGGGGTTGAAGTGCATATAGACCTCTTTATTGCCACAATCCAAATAAATTGAAAAAAATAAAAATAAAAAAAAATTGAAATAATGACTGCACTTGGTAAGTGTACGTACCAAATGGTGTGCTTTGAAAAAAAAAAAAAAAAAAAAAAAACAAGAAGAAAGAAATTACACTCAAATAGAACAATTTTCAATTTTGTCCATTGGACCCTTTGTGTTTTGTTGTTTCATAGTATCCATGCTAATCTCATGCTATTGGGACCTTTTGCAATTTTCTATATCAAACTATTCTGGTATTTTTGTAAAAGGGTGGACAATCCACAGACGGAATGCAGATATGAGGATTGTCCAACAACTGAGATTACCCTTCGTGCCGATATGTCCCGCTATTGAAGCGGAGCGTGAAAGTGCCCTTCATGCCGATTTTTGATGAGACTGGAGGGGGGTGGGGACCACTGGGGGAAATTTGTTCACTGGCACCTGTGCCGCCCCTAGTGGTGGACGAGCAGCCAGCAGCTGGAACAAAACGCGGCCATCGTTTTCTTGTTTCCAGTCCTCGACCACCCTCAAGAAGTGCTTATGTTCGGTCAAGTACCTGCCCGGGAAGGAACGCTCGAGGAACACTACACTTGAGCCCAGAATCGCAGTCAGATACATTCTTGAAGTGCTAGTGTGAGACTGCCCTCAAGTGTTCCTTCGCAGGTAGGTGTACTTGACGGCTCTCTCCGTCTCTCACGGGGAGTCACATCTGCGTTTGTTTTGTAAAACGAACGCTGAACCCGGTTTCCAGCAGGTGCAGCTCCCCGTCAATAGATTGAAGCCCCATCTATATGGAAGGCCTATTATATTATATTATATTATTGGAGGACGCTCTGATCAGCTCCGATAATAGGTCTCCGGCAGATGATTTTCGGGGGGGCGGGAAAAGAAAAAGAAAGAGCCGAGATTATTCTTTCTTGAAAGAAAAAAAAGTTTAAGATGGAACAAAAATGGCTCTGAAGGTGATTGCCTTCAGATTCATCGATGGTGCACCATAAGTGTTGTAAGAGACATCGATGAATCTGAAGTCGATCGCGTTCAGATTCATCGATGGTGCCACCATAAGATACATCCTGGAAACTGCAATCGTGAGATACTGCCCTGGAACGATCCTTTGCTGGCAGCACCTTGTTTCTCATGTGGAGTCAGCTCAGAAACAGCCCAGATTTTTCTTCCTAAAAAAAACAAGGTACACTCTTTGGGGGGTGGGTGGGGGGGGAGAGGTACACTTTTTTTTGGGGGTGGCAAAGGCACACTCTTTTTTGGGGGGGAGGTACGCTCTGGAAAGCGCATGTGTGAGATATACTGCCCTGAGAATCTTCAGATATTAATTGCCTTCAGATTCACTGAGGGCGGACCATAACTGCGTCCAGATACATTGTGGAAAGTGCATGTGTGAGATACTTCCCTGATACGTTTCTTTGCTGGCTGCATCCCGTCTCTCACTGGGTGTCAGCTCATAAACGGCCGAGTATATTCTTCCTAAAAAAAGAAAAAAAGAAGACCTTCTGAAGGTGGCTGCCTTCAGATTCACTCGTTGTAAGGGACGCTTTTGGGCCTGGTTCCCAGCCGTGTTGCTCCCCACGAATAGATTGGAGCATCGTCTCAAAAAAAAAAAAAAAAAAAAAAATCCTCATCGTGGACCAGAACTGCGTCCATATACATATTCAACAGTTGCTGTGTGGAAATGCCGTGAACTTCTTTTTTTTTTTTTTTTTTTTTTTTTTTTTGGGAAATGCCGTGAACTTCACTTTTCTCATGAACTTTACTCGTCTTTTCTTTTTTCGTCCTGAAACGATACTTTTTCTTTCGTGACGTTTGTGACGTTTGTGACGTCTGTCTTCGTGTCATTCATTGCACACAGGCAGCAAACTGACAGGACAACGTGCAGTCCATATTTGCCCGTTTTCCTTGGGACCACCACCGTCCTTGCCCGTCGCACTACCGGGGCTTTGCCGACCCCCGAAGTATGCACAGCCGTAAATGGGCCACCTTTTTTTTTTTTTTCGTTTTTTTTTTTTCAAGCAGGGCCAAGTACTGGTGGTTTAAATTGTAAATTTTTCAATACGATTTTTTTTTTTTTTTTTTAACCCCCCTTTTTTTCAGTGTACGGGCCCAGTGCCCAACAACTCGAATTTCAAAAAGATTTGGAAACCCTTGGCAAAGACGGGGCTAACCCTTGGTTTATATTTTTCCAGCGGCTTTCATTTCGAAAAATGTTGCCTTTATTTTTCCAGCGGCTTTCATTTCAAAAACCTTTATTTTTCTACCAGCTTTCATTTTGAAAACCTTGGTTACTATGTATGGCCAAGCTCAATTGGTATGGATGGGCAAGCTCAATTGGTATACCATTTTGAAAACTGTATACTGTGAAGTTGCGCGAACATGTGAATAGGGAACTGCAGAGCTGAGTTCAAATCGGGATGGAAATCGATGAATGACATGAAATTTTGAAAATTTGAAAATTTGAAAATTTATAACTGAAAAAAAAAACAAAAAAAAACAGGATATGGATTCAGTTGAAAATTAAAATGTTTTTTTTGCTGGTAATCTAAGATGACAGGAAATTAGCTGCCCACCAATATAGACAGGAGCATCCAGGTCTCTTGCTAGGAGGTGGGTGCCCTTATCACCTCTCCTAGCAAGGACGCTGCGTTAAAAAAAAAAAAAAAAAAAAAAAAAAGAGGAAAAAAAAAGAAAACAAAAGAAAAAAAAAAAGAAAAGGCCCAGTGAATGTGGTCAGCGTGGAATGGCCTTCAGTGGGACAGATCACTCCCTTGTTTTTTTTTCTACTTTTTTTTTTTTGAATCACCCAAGCTCCCCTTCTATTCTGGGGGGCGTCAGTCTGGCACGGTCTGCTTATCACCGGCGAGCATCAGTACAAGGGAAAAGAACCGAAAGAAGTTCAAAGAACACAGAATTGAAAAAGAGAGTCAGTCGAACCCTTGCGGTACGAGTCACCTACTCGAGGGACGGACCACTTTTTTTTTTTTTTTTTTTTTGGGGGGGGGGGGGGGGGGGGGGGGGGGGGGGGGGGGGACCACTTCCTATGCTCACTGCCTTTTTTTTTTTTTTTTTTTTTTTTTTTTTTTTTTTTTTTTTTTTTTTTTTTTTTTTTTGTGAATCCAACTCTATCAATATTGAGAGTGAACTGACGCTGCTGTGGCTTCTTTGTGGCCTTGGACTTGTAAGAACCAGACATGGGTCACATCTAAGTTCATGTTCAGGCGTCCAGTCTATCGATGAAAAAAAAAAAAAAAAAGGCCTGAAGTCAGGTCTTGCCAAGTCAAAGTGTGAACAACCAAATAAATCATCCGAAGTAGCTTTGAGTGTAAGTACTTTTGTTTTTGTTTTCGTCACAGCACGGAAATTCATTGCACGAAGAAAAAAAAAAGTAAGTTTTGTCGGGTCTGACTACCTTTCACAGGCAAATTCAAAGTCCATGGAGTCGCCTACTTGTCAGAGTCTGACGCCTCAGGGCAGGCCTGACAGCCGTTTTTGGAAAGAATAAAAAAGAAGAAGATACCTTTCTCGGCCAAAAAACAAAAAGATCAAGTGTAGTATCTGTTCTGATCAGTTTAATATCTGATCCGTAGTCCATTGGGGACATTTAAAAAAAAAAAAGAAAAAAAAAAAAAAAAAAAAAAAAAAGAAGAAGAAGAAGAAGAAGAAGCGAACAGGAAAAAAAACTACACAAGTTTGAACCCAGCCCTCGTGGAGGTGGAAGTCACACCAGTGCTTTGAGGACTCGGAATGTATCTGGCCACTATGGGTGGACATGGACAGGGACAAATTTCTTTGCAGGTCGTTCT